GCCCAGTGGCACAGCACCTGCCCGGTAAGAGCAAGATCCTGAATTTGATTCCTAGTACCAAAAACAAAGCCTCCTTTAGCACAGGCAGCTCTGGGGGGAGCGAGGAGAAGGGGCAGAATCTCAAGGAGATAGGAGCACAAGTTAGGAGGTTGCTCCAGGTCTAAGGAGGGGCGTGGGCCCCTGGCCTTGGAGAACACAGTCTTCCTTCTGCAGAGGAGAAATGCCTCCTCTGTCAGGTGCCGTGTGTATTAAGCCCTCAGAGGACAGCATCACTCAGTTGTAACAAGCCTAGTGTCTAGAGCGAGACAGTTTCTGGTTTAAAACTTGACAGGTTGCTATTGGTCTTTAGCCTGGGTTTTCTCACCTGTATAATGGGACGATGTCATCAGGGCCTTCACGTTAGAGCTGAGCACCAGCTCCCTGACTGCAGACACTCTGCTTTGATCATGTCCCCAGCAGTACCTGTCACGCTGCAGGTGGAACTGTTGATACATTGTGTCAGCTTGAGAAGTTTACAAGTTTAAGCAACTCTGCAGGGGTCAATGTCCCCACTGTCCCCACTTCGTAAACATCCTCGTGCTGTGCAAGAGCAGGGCACAGAGAAGGTGCGAGTGCCACACCCTGCTAGGGTGTGGTAGCCTGCTGACAGTGCAAGGGAGGAAAAGAGGCTAGCTCCAACTCCTGCTGCTCCTGTCGCCTTTGCCGTCTTCTGCTGCTATACTACGCTGCCCTGCCTTGGATCCAGCTGATTATGGACTGAAATCGCTACAAACTGGGAGCTGAAGAAACTTTTCCTCTTTACCTTTGGGGGTTGGTTATTTTGTTCCAGCAATAAGAGGAAAGCAATCAGAACTTTTTGCACTCAATGCAGAGGTGTGGAGTGGCTGAAAAATAAAGCACCTTGCACCTTTCTTGGCATGTAGTGCGTGTTCAGTGACGACCAGCTACTCTAACATTGGCTGGATTACTAGTAAGTGCTGCCTATTGCTTCAGCCTATTAGCAGAGCTACCTCTAAGATGGCAAAGCTTTTCCGTCAGCAGCCACACAGCTAGGGGCAGCAGGGGCAGCACCTTTAGACCCTTCTGTGTTGCCTTTAAAATTCCCTGCAAGCCCTTTCACATGGATGCAGATGGTGGGGAGAGGCGAGGATACCAGGGTCGTAACTTAAGGAAGCACTGATACAGGAACGATGCATCTGGCTTGTGGGTTTCGCTGTGAAATGCAAAGGAAGCCGCTCTTGTCTAGTTCTTTGGAGAAGCTGGGTGAGTCCTTCTGTCATTCATGAGTTCAGCTTGCATCCCCTGCTGCCTGCCTGGCCTGGCCTGACCTGCCTGGCTTCCTCTGCATACTTTGACTTGTGTCCTGCTCTTACCAAGGAGCAGTAAGATGGAGAGCAAAACAAAGGAAAGCTCACAAGGTCCTGGCCACCCAGCCTCCTGGGCCCCTGTCTCCCATCTACTGCCCGACCTCTGCCTCTGCCAATGCAAACATCTAGTTAATTACCGAACCAATGCTCTTAGAAGGCTAAACAATTAGTGGGTGCCCAAGAGGAGTACAGCTGGAGGACTTACAGGGGAGACCCTGGCGGCCACAGTGAGAGGAAGGGGGCCAGTCTCCACAGACTGGGTGCTGGAAGGAACTCTAGTGTCCTTCCATGCTTGTGCTTTTCAAACTGGAATTTGCCCACTCCTGAAACAGCCATTCAGGGCTCTGCAGGTGCCTGTTGCTGACTGTGGGCCTCCAGCCCAAGTCCCTGAGTGTTGCTGTGCAAGGAATTCCCCGTGGGCCGATGAAGATGCTCAGGGTTACAGTCTTAGCCTCCTACAGTGCCCAGGACCCCTGCGTTTTCAGTGCACTCTGTGGAATGTCCTGATCCACAGCTCTGGGAGCGCTGACCTAGGGCTCTCTGGCCTGCTGCCTTGGATCTCACTGAAGGAGACAGCATAGAGGTTTTAAAAAATGGGGTCCAGAGCCTGTGGTCCTCAAATCTTTGGCCTCAGACTACTTGTGAGAGCTTCTCATCCTCACCTTCCTCACCTGTAAAGCTATATTCGCTTTGCTGCCTGCGATACAGTGTAATGTGGGAAGTTTGCAAACTCAGTGCCTACATGCAGTTAGATCTCAGTGCATGGGATTCCGAGGGCAGAAAGTGCAGCAGCTGCCTCCTGTGCCTTCTGACCCGCTGGGAGCCTGGGGTCCTGCCTGGATGGGCCAGCCACAGCAGGGCCAGTCACCTCAGAAGAGAACCTCTTCTCCATCTGTAGCACTGTCTCTAGCAGACATCTGTAAACTGGGAGCATTTTTCTGACCAGCATGACAGGCCTACAGGGGTAGAGGCAATGTGGGGTCAGGCTGTGAGACTCAGAAACAGAAGCTGACGGCCCAACCCCTGCTTTTATTCTTGGTAGCTGTGCGACTTTCAGTTAATTATTTAATCTTTCTAAGCCTTCTTTTTCTTACTTATATCATGGAGATTATAAGCATCACAAAAGCAGTGTGAATGATAAAGTGGTTAACACAGTGCGAGGGCCATAGCAAAGCTCAATAATTAAATGAGGACGATTCACCTTGCTTCAGGCCATAGCCTGGTCTCTGTTCTCTTTGGCCTGTGACTCTCCTGTGGGCACTATCCCCCAGTCCAGTGTGGAACTTTACATTCACTTGATGTCATCTCAGCAGCCACATCCTGGGACACGTTAGGACTATCTGTTGGCTTGCTGTCCAGCCCTGTGTTTTGCCCATTAGGGAAACCAACGTGGTAGGAGGGCCCTTGGGCAGCTGAGCTGGAGATAGCTTGGGAACAGGATGTCTGCAGCAGCTCTTGCTGTACCCTTTCCTGTGCAGTACGGGGAGCGGCCATGACCCTTGCTCTTTGCCCACCCCCACTCCCAGCTGCCAAGGGAGCACCTGGGCATTGTGCCGAGGGCCGGGCAGATACTGCTGTGTTAGCATGGGTGAGGCCGAGGGAAGTTGTCAGGCTGCCTAGCTCAGCGTGTGGTCAGCCAGTGCTCCTGCAGACTGCAGCCTCCTCCTGTCTTTCCTGGAAGGACTGGAAGTTTTTCTCAATGGACAAAGCCTGGGTGGGGATCCCAAGGGGCAGGGCCCAGACTGGGAGAGAGAGGCGGAGACTCTGAGTTGGAGACACAGCACTGTGTATTTGCAGCTCTCAGGATGACTGACCTGAGCGAAGGTTGGAGTGTGCACAGTGCGGCCAGTGCCCAGGAACCCCCTACTGGGCTCCTTCCTCCCAGAGCCTTGAGGACATTGCGCGGCTTGAATGTTCATCTCACTGCACTGGGGTGGCAGATATGCCTGGGTCTCGCCGTGGCCTCCTGAGCAAGGGTCTGTGAGGGCACCAGGTATTCAGTATGTCGCCACAGCAGCACTCAGCAGCCCCGAGGATGTCTCTAAGCAGCTGTGCTTAACCCATCTGCGTCAGAGCAGAGGCAGGCTTTTCACTCCGTGTTGTACAGTAATGCGCTCCCAAGTTCAGCCTCCGTGCTTGCTTCCCTAGTGCAGGCACTTGGCTTGCCTCACGCCTCCATCCTCTGCAACTAGCATGATGCCTGCCCAGCTCCGGAGCCTAAAGACATTTTTGGAGTGATTGGCTGTTCTCCTTTGGACCATGCGGAGAGCTGGTCCTCGGTATCTGCAGATTTCCCATTTGGAGATTCAGCCATCCCCAAATGAAACATTTTTGAAAAATAATTTGCAACTATATTGAATGTGACTGTTTTCTTTCTTGGCATTGTTCCCTAAACTGTACAGTCTGACAACTATTTATGTAATATTTACATTATATATTTGGTATGATAAGTAATCTAGAGATGACTGACAATATTCAGGAGGATGAGAATAGGCTACAAGAATAGGCTTCTAAGTTCTGCCCCCTTTTTGTAGGGTGCCTGTGAGTTTAATATTCTTGGGTGCCCTGGAGCCAACATCCTGTAGATACCCAGGAGCGCTTGCTCCCAACTCCAAGGGCTGTGTTCAGATTACAGGTAGAACAGGTAAAAGCTGCCTGGAAGAATGAAATGAGCAATGCTAGTATCTCTAATGGGGGGTCTCACAAGCCCAGCTGTGGGTGTCCCTTTACTAAACAGCCATCTTCCTGGTGCAGAGCAACTGAGACTTGTAAAAACTTCATGTGTAGTGCGTCTCCAGGTTTGGCTTTCAAACACCAGGTCTTTCATTTAATAATATAGGAGTGCTGATAAGTTAGTAGATTATTTCTGTCTTTTTTTTTTTCTTTTGTATTTCAGGGAAGGGTCTACAGGGTGTTCAGGGTCTCACTACTAGATACAACTCATAGTGATCCATTTGTTTACAGCCTCCCAAGAGCTGGGATTATAGGCACGCACCACCAAACCCAGTCTCAATTGCTATCTCAGTGTGCCCCAGGGGCTGGGCAGGCACAGCAGGCCCGAGAATGGAACCCCCAGCCCTTGTGCCTGCTTGCAGGCACTTTAATTCACTGTGCTATTTAGCTGGCCTGATTATTTCTGTCTTGAGCGATGATCAGACAGGCTTGGACTGTCTTAAGATGTTCGCTGAAGAGCACATGAGAATTGAATGTTGTACCCCGCCCCCAGCCCGAGCCTAAGTCTGTAACATTCTGCCCTGTGATTTGTCATTTGCCATGCTTAGTTTGGAAACCTTTTGGAGTCCTTGTCCTACCATCCTTTACCAGTGTTAACTTTCCTGGATGCAGTTGTTAAAGACGCTTTTGGGCTTGTTTGGGGATTCTGAACCTGGAATCTGGTGGCGAGATTAGGACTTCCGAGTGCCCTGCTGTTGAGTGCCCTGTCCCCTATACACATGAGTTCCTCTGGAAAGAAGCTCTGAGCTTGCATCAGACCCTCACATAGGGGTGCATAGCCCCATAATACTGGGAAGAGCCAGTTGTCAAACCCATAGAGCCATTGCGCATAGGGCCCTAGGAGAGGGCCCCTTCCAGAGCCATAACCTCTGACCAAAGATTGTATCTCTTCTGCCACAGAGGACTGATTACAGTGAGCAGCAACCTCAGCTACATCATCGAGCCCCTCCCTGACCATGAGAGCCAGCACCGTATCTACAGATCTGAGCATCTCAAGCTGCCCCCCAGGAGCTGTGGGACCCGGCACCCGGCGCCCGGCACCAGGGGCTGGGCGCTTCCGTTTACACAGCTGACCAAGAGCCGACCTCGCAGGGTGAGCTCCCGGCTGTCTGCACAGCGCTTGGCCTAGGTGCCTCTCCTCTGAGGGCCTCTACTCTGAGCCCAGGGGTATTTCTAACCTGAAGCAGAGGAGCAAAGAGCTTTGTTCGTTTATTCTAAATCACTGTTGACTATGAGATACCCTCCAAGAAAATAACTGCTGTTGGGGAAAATGTTCCATTTAAAATACTCTGGGATGTGGATTTCAGAAACTATAAAAGGTGAAAAAAAAAATGCCTCCCTTGTTGAAATAGCCACTTCCCTCCCATGCACAAAATATTATTTGTTTATACTAAAAACAGCAGTATGTGGTCCAAAGGTTATTTGGGAACTTGGTCAGCAGTGTGCTGGCCTCCGGTCTGCCTGTCCTAGCCAGCTCAGCCTGCTAGCTTTTGGGTCCCGTGGCCAACAGCAGTGTCCAGCCGTAACCACATGGCAGGTGAGAGGCAGAGGCAGGGCACGGTGGCCGCAGCCCTGAATGTCTCCGGCACCCACAAAGAGAGTATATAAGAAGGCCCCTGCCTACCAGCTGCTTCTGTCTCTCAGTAGTTCTTGGAAGTGAATCTGAATCCATTTCCCCAGCTCTAATATGTTTATATCTCTTCCTCAGATGAAAAGGGAAGATTTGTACTCCATGAAGTATGTGGAGCTTTACCTCGTGGCAGATTATGCAGAGGTAAGAGGGATGTGATGGATTTTAGCAAAATCTGCTCTCTTGCTGTCTACCATGTCAGACTCCCAGCTGCTCTGGGGAAAGGCTAATGCATTCATCTTTCTCTGGTTTGCCATAGAACTTTTACCTTACATCTGACCAGAGGCTCTTATTGTCATTTTAAAAAGTCAAGAGGGAGAAACCCACCAGGGAAGCCTCTTCTGGCTCAATACACTAATCAGATGGGAAACCAGGATGGAGCCAGCTGGTGTGGCTATGCCACCCCTGGGCTCCCTGCGGGGCGGGCCCCAGCAGCTGTGGGTCAGAGAACCGCTCCATGGGGCTGGGCTGGGCGCCCCTCAGCTGGAGGCTTTGTGGGATGAATGGGAGAAGTGGGGGGGGATGGGTAACAGGTCAGGCTGTGTGCCCCGGCTCAGGAATCAGCCCCACCCCACCCTCTCGCTCCCTTTGCTAGGGGCCTGTATCTTTCTGATCGTAACCCGTAACCCGGAGGAGGAAGGCAGACAGAGAAGGGAGGTCTGCTTATGTGTGACTTACAGGGTGGCGCAGGGCGGGCCTAGCCATCTGCCTGGGCTCTGGACAGTCATCTCGATGGACATTTCTCAGATGGCATCTGAAAACCCTCTGATGTCATTTTTTATGTTGAGTCTATAGATGCGCTATAGATATTTTAAAATGTTTGGTTTAAAAAGGTAACAAATACATTCTCCATCATCTGCTTTAATATCATTTTTGCCTATGCATGCGCTCATTTTTATGACTATATTGGTTCCAAGTAAGAAGCAAGGGTTCACAAAATAGTCCCCAGACCTGCAGCCTTGGTAGCAGTTGGACAGCTGCACCAAGCTCAGACTCACGAGTCCTGCCCCAGACAAGCTAAATCCGTAATGGCAGCAAGACCTCGGGATGCCTCTGACATCCAGGAGAGTCTGGGCACTGTGGACCTCAAAGAATAGCAAGATTGCCTTGAACTTACACTTCTTAAATTAGAGAGGCTCCAGGACTTGGTGAATATTCACTTAGCTTTCTTATTCATTCATTTTATTTAGCCGTCAGTGGTTTCCTGATTTTCTTTTTTAAAAAAATAATTTTATTGGGAAACAGCAATGAGACAGTTTCAAAACCGATTACTAGCACTGTATTAATTATTGAAACTGTCTTAGTGGTTATTCATTGTACGAGATGCAGACATGATATCCTGTCCACAAACACTATTAGAACAAATCTCTCTATTCAGCGACCCAAGAGAATGCAGCTGTGTGCAATATCCTAACTATATTGAACATACAGATACAAAATGGTCGTTCATTTGTATCCCCCTTTTTTGTTTAGTCTGAGAGGTTTCCTGATTTTCTACACAGATTTCAAAGAGCCAGATCAATCACTGGCAGCATAGAGGTTTCAGAAATGGAACAAAACTACAGTAATCCCAGAATATGCCAACCAATGAAATGGTGCCCATGGTGTTAGAGGGCAAAGAACGGCATGCAGCACAATCCGTGTGCCCACGGAAAGCTTCTCTGAGCGAGTAATGCTGCAGTGATGCCTGGAAAGTGGGCTCAGGCTCCGGATCCCTTGCCGAGTTAGCAGGTGGCACGCTAGGCTCTCACTTTATGTCATGCGTGACTTGGCCACACACTGGGCACGGGCTCTGCAACCCCGATGGCCGTGGGGAGCGGAGCGCTGTGCACACACACCTTGTGACCTTGCCTGGGTGCCCTGAGCACACGCCCACTACAGCTCCCACTGCCTGCGTTCCCTGTTCTAAGGGGGGTCCAGCTCCCCAAAAGGTCTCACGCCAGGGCAGCTGTGTGTAGCCCACCACCCCAAAGCAGATCCCTCCGATCCTTGGAGGCTGTGGCAGCTGTTGAGAGCTCTGCACTCCAGGCTTGACTGCTCCTTTCACTGTTAGCTGGGGGTGGGGGAGCTTGAAGAGTTTTAAGGACAGGGAGGGGTTACTA